AATACCACAGGGTTCACATTTATGTGGGGAGGTTTGAATTACTTGGAGCACTCTCCACATGCAGGTTATCCCCAAGTGTGGAGTGGTTTGTGGGTGGCATCACTGTTGATCCTTGTTATTTACATGAGGCTGACTTTCTTTTTCTAGCAATGAAATGTGTTCCAGAATCCTAGTGGGGAAGTCTTCTCCATAAGACAGTCTTAACTGGAGATTAGAAATAGGTTTAAGATGTAAGAATTATCTTCTATTAATCCTTGTATTCCTTAACCTCATGGAGAACATGGGCTATTCGTGGGACTTTTAATCAGATTGATAAATCAGGTGAAATGATTTTTTTTATTTAGAAGCACAGAGTAATTTGAAGTAAACTAGTAGCCAAGATACAAGGATGCCAATAGGATGCCCTGAGAAATAGCCGTAAGGGTCTTTTAGTCTAGTGAAATATTTTTTCAGAATACAGCAACCAGAAATGAGAGAATCAGACAATATGATGAAAACTACAGATGGAATGCTTTGCATGAAAAGTGATTCTATACAAGAGAGGGCTCCAGCATGAGTAGGAGTGGAGTTGGAAAGGAGCTAGTAAGTGAAATCAGAGACGATAATTCCTGACCAGGTCTCATAAAATATTCCCTGCCACAACCACTGTTCCATGAAGAGATTGAGCCAAGAGGCCTGAATAAACTAACCTTAAGTTCAGAGTTGCCATTATTGTGGGAGGCACGGGGAGAGCATATCCGGATTTGTGTTGCACAGTAATCACTGCTGGGTGTCAGCATTCATCAGCCAGATGGTCAGACCCACAATTAATCAATTAGGCTGGGATGATCAAGTGGACTAAGTTTTCCCCTTTGGTAAAAAACCGTCATCATGCGGTTAAGGCCAATAGTACTTTTATCCTGTTGCTTTTGGAGAAGCTTCTAAAAATTCCTCTTTTCTTTTTTAGGTCTCTAGTTACTGGACACTGTTAGGCTCCAAGTTGCTTTGACAACATAGATACCCCAAATCAAGGTTTTCACATAATAGATTTTCAACATTCTCAGTGTTCAAGTATAATGTTTAACATACCCAGGCAGAAATAAGCGTGAGCTTTTTAAAGCAACATTGTAAGAAGTGTTACTGAACTGATTTTATTGATTCCACTCAGTCCAATGGAAGAACACTGGAAGGGATTCCTTCACTGGGTATTTATGGTATTTATAAAGATGATATGGTAAATAATAATAACAGCAATTTCTTGTGTTCACTGCATGACAGATACTGCTATGATAAGGATTGACAAACATTGATTCATTCCTTACAGTAATTCACTGGGGATGATAATATTACTTCCATCTCAAAGAGAAGGAAACTGAGGCTAAAAGATTTGATTGCCCAAGGTTAAACACTAAAAAAATGTGTTGAAGAACACACTAAGTGGGCGGCGCCCTTGGCTCAAAGGAGTAGGGCACCGGCTCCATATGCCAGAGGTGACGGGTTCAAACCCAGCCCCAGCCAAAAGAAAAAACAGAACAACACAATAAGTAAAGCAAGCAGACAGCCCTCAGAATGGGAGAGGATATTTGCAAGTTATGCTTCTGACAAAGGTTTGATAACCAGAATCCACAGAGAACTCAAACTTATTAATAAGAAAAAAACAAGTAATCCCATTTTACTGTGGGCAAGGGACTTGAACAGAAGCTTTTCTGAAGATGATAGGTGTTTGAGATACATGAAACATGTAGGTGATACATGATAGATGACCTACATGATACATGATAGGTTTTCAGATACATGAAAAACTGCTCATCATCTTTAATCATAAAAGAAATGCAAATCAAAACCACTTTGAAATATCAACTAACTCCTGTAAGAGTGGTTCACATAACAAAAAACTACAGATGTTGGTGTGGATGTGAAGTAAAGGGAACACTTCTGCACTGCTGGTGGGAGTGCAAGCTAGTATGTCCCTTTTGGGAAGAAGTATGGAGAATACTCAGGGATCGAAAAGTAGACCTGCCATTTGATCCTGCAAATCCTCTACTAGGTATATATCCAAAAGACCAAAAATCACTTTATAACAAAGATATTTGCACCAGATTGTTCATTGCAGCTCAATTCATAATAGCCAAGTCATGGAAGCCCAAGTGTCCATCGACCCACGAATGGATTAACAAATTTTGGTATATGTATACCATGAAATATTATGCAGCCTTAAAAAAGATGGAGACTTTATGTCTTTCACTTTTACATGGGTAAAGCTGGAACATATCCTACTTAGTAAAGTATCTCAAGAATGGAATAAAAAATATCCAGTGTACTCAACACCATTATGAAACCAATTTACAATCACTCACACTTTCATATGAAGAATAGATCACAACTACAGCCCAAGACGAATAAGGGAGAAGGGGTGATAGAAGGGGAGGGGGGACATCAGATCGAGGGAGGGTGAAAGGTGGGATCACACCTATGGTGCATAATACAAGGGTACATGTTGTATCTATTAGTATAGGGTATAGATGTCTTAACACAATAATTAAGTAAACGAGATGAGGTATATATTTAAAAAAAATGTTTTGAGATTATTTAAAAAATCTTACAATGAAAACTCACTAAAATGTGTTTTACATTTTCTTTTTTCTATTTCATTAGGCTGCAAGTAGTTTTTTGTTATAAGGATGAATTACATTGTGGTGAAATCAGAAGTTTTAGTGCACTCATCACCCTACTATTAATAGTATACATTGTAACCAATAGGTAATTTTTTATCCCTCAGTTACCTCCCAACCTCCTCCCACCATCTGAGTCTCCAGTGTTCATCAAACCTGCTGTCCTCAACCTGTGGGCAGCAGACCAGTACTGGTCCACAGACTGTTAGGAACCGGACTGCACACAGGAGGTGAGCAGTAGGCAGGGAGCACAGCTTCATCTCTGTTTACGGCCCCAGTGCTTGCATTACCCCTGAACTCCACCTCTTGTCACATAAGCAAGGGCATTAGATTCTCCCAGGAGCACGAACTCTACTGTAAACTGCACATGTGGGGGGTCTAGGTTGCGCTTCTTATGAGAATCTAACGCCTGATGATCTGAGGTTAAGTGTAATGTGCTTGAATCATCCTGAAGCACCCCACCCCCACTCCTGGTCCATAGAAAAATTGTCTTCCACGAAACTGGTCCCTCGTGCCAAAAAAGGTGGGGATTGTTGCATTATACCACCCTGTATGACTATGCACCCCCCCTTGTTTAGTTCCCACTTATAAATGAGAACATACAGTATTTGTTTTTCCATTCCTGAGGTACTTCTTTCAGGGTAATGGCTTCCATTCCATCCCACTTGCTGCAGAAGAAATTATTTCATTCCTTTCTTTCTTTCTTTCTTTCTTTCTTTTTTTTTTTTTGACTGAGTAGTATTGCATGGTGCATATATACATTTTCTTTGTCCACTAATCAGTTTGGGGGCATTTGGGTTGGTTCCATATCTTTGTAATTGTGAATTGTACTGCAATAAATATATAAGGGCATGTGTCTCTTTAATATTATGATTTTTCCCTTGAGTGGATATCTACTAGTGAGATCACTGGACTGAGTGGTAGTTCTACTCTTAGTTCTTGTAGTTCTTGAAGGAATCTCCATCCTGCTTTCCATAGAGGTTATGGTAATTTGCATTCCAAACAGCAGTGTTTTCTTTTCATTGCATCTGAGTCAACATCTACTATCTTTTTACTTCTTTGTTATGGCCATTCTGAGGGAGGTAAGATGGTTTTCATTGTGGTTTTGATTTGCATTTCCCTGACAATTGGTGATGTTGAGCATTTTTTCATGTTTGTTGACCATTTGTCTATTTTGTTTTTCAAAATCTCTGTTTGTGTACTTTTACCACTTTTTAATGGAGTTCCATGTTTTTCCTCACTGATTTGTTTGAGTTCTCATTCATCTCTGCACCTCTAAGGGAAAAACAATTAGGAATATGTAGTTGGTCCTTATTATTCCTCTTCAGAGGACTTTAAAGAACTCTTTTAGTACCGTTTCCCAAATCTATTGCTCTTACTCAGTTTTCCATGACACTCCGCTCCACCCCATCTGACTGGAGGCAGCTTTCTTCCTTATTTCAGGGCCATCATCACTGTTTGCTAATAATTCTGTCTCCTCAATATTCTCCTCTAGTCTGTTTGAATATCAAGACTTGTCTTTATCAGTTGACATACAGGGCAATTTGCCTCCTTGGAAACAAAATGTCTATCACCAAGCTATTTTCTACTCATATGTTGAACCCGGTTTCCCCGTTTAACTTCTCCTCTCCTCCTGCTAGATTATAATACTTCTGCGCAAGAGAGATGTTTGAAAATCCTATCGGTGGGAGGCATCAATTCCTCACCGAGATCTATGCTGACCTCACTAAGTAGAAATACAGATACATTGTCACACATCCCCTGCATCTCATCATTTAACTTGTTCTTAGCTCTTCTCTACTCTCACCCAAGCTCAGTTTAAGAAGTGCTTCTCTTTAACTATTTCATGAAGGCTATCTAAGGCCATTTTTACCCAAAAATATACCTCTGAAATATGAGGGTCTTACTCATAATTACATTAATATTAAATATGAGGCTTCTTTTGCTATTTTGCTATTTAACTGCAGTGCTTTGGTTTTTATTTGTTTTGCTTCTTAACCAAATTGGAAAACAATCCCAAAATACCTAGAGCACATCTAGGAAACCACTGCTTGGAGAGCACGTGGGAGAAGAGGTATTCCAGAAATTATAATGAGCATCTTCTATCCTCCAGGGCTCTACCCAGTGCCCTCTTTTTCTGACTGCTACTCTATCTTGTTGCTCTGTTTGGTAGGTGGCTGTTTTTGCTGTGACTCTTCTTTTTCTGCAGTCACAGTCTTCACCCCAGAGCTGATGAGGCTCTTTCATTTTGACCTACAGTATCCCTGCATATTGCAAAACTGAGCCCTGCCATCTAGACTGCCTTTCTGCTTCGTTCTGCTCCTGACCTAAACCCCCCTGCTATTCCAGGCCTGGCCTCTCATGACCAGAGACTGCTGACTCATCCTGGCCTGTGCCAAGCTGTGCAGTCGCTTAGTGATGTGGACAGGAGTCGAAGGACTAGAATGAGATCACTGAACTCATTTCACTTGTTGCTTACGGTACAGTCCAGCATGAGCTGGAAATGTAGGAACCTCAGCCTCCCGAGCAGAAAGAGTAAGTAGATTAAACACACCGCATCACCAAGTCCTCAACAAGCAGCAGTCGGGTGGTGGGAGGGGGCTCGCTTTATCATGGCCGTGGCCAGGGCATTCGGGTTCATCAGGAGTTTTCCTTTGTCCTCTCTTCTTCCTCTCCTCCACAAATGCACCCTCCCCCTTCCTGAACTTCCCTTCTGAAAATGTCTGGATGGAACAGCAATGATCTGGGCAGAAATGAAATTTTGCTAATAAGCAGCCTCCGCACAAAATCCTGGAACAGTGACACTGTTGAAACTGCTTAGTTTAGTTTGTCTACTGGGAACTCACATGAACTTCCCAACAGAATTCAAGGGGATGAAAAAATCTCTTTCTCTTTTTTTTTTTTTTTTTTTTTGTTCTCCTTTTCTTTTGATTCTCTTTTTCTTTCTGTTTTGAGGAAGGTAGTTTCAGGAGACATGGCTGCATTCTGGTGTGGTGTAAAGTTTTCCGTCGGGAGACAATAATGTACATTCCTCTGGCAGGACGGGATGGGTTTTTTTTTGTTTCTCTTGCTGTTGTTTATTTATAAGACATTTCCTCTCAGTTAGTGGAAGTTAGATCGTAAGAGGCTCCAGTGATTTTCCTTCCACCTCCCCTCCCTAATTTCTGTGCTTCAGCACTCTGGAACACTGTGAACTCGACAAACTAATCAGAGCAGGGAGCTTAACAGCCAGGCCTGGACACTCTCAAGAGACTGTGTGCTGATTCTCAGTCGTCACTCGTTGGATCAGGAACCACAGTCCTGGTGAGTGGTGAGGTTCCAGAATTTGATGTGTCAAAGATTCTATTCTTGGTATCTCCGAGACAGGCAGGAAATAAAGGGTGTTTTTAAAAAGAAAAAAATATAATTTAAAAAAAAGCTAGCAAACAATCAAATGGAATGATGAAGGTTTTTAGTGTGCACAGCAGAGAGCACTCTATGGACAGTGGAAGAGCCTTGAGGCTACGCTCAGCAGCCAGCATAGGTTTCGTGCTGCCACCCAAGGATGCCAGCCTTGGCATGCCAAGCAACCATGCTTGGGGGAGGAGGAAGGTGAGTGAGGCGGTGGGGGCAGGGAGGTAGTATTTGGCATGGTAGCAGGGAGAAGTGAAAGTAGGATTCATCGTTCCTTTGGAGTTTTCCTCCTCTATCAACTTCTCATACATCTCCGTTCTGAGCATTTAGGTTACACTCACAGTACTTCCAGAATATAGTGGATGTAGAGCAAATGAATATTGTTAATACTATTCTTCTAAAGGTCACTTTGCTAAGAACTGGTTGCTTTTAAATGTTAGGGACCCCCCCAACACCTCACCTCTGAAAAGTATTACTGGACACATACTCCTCTTTATTCTTGTGCATTCATGGTCTAAAGCAAAAGAATGCAATGAGAATCCTTATTTTGTTCCAGGGAAATTTATCATTCTGACACAAGACAACTAGATGACTGTCCTCACAGTATTAAACCCAAATATAGTATTGTCCTCCATAGAAGGGACTCTGATTGAGTGTGCTCTGGGATGTTGTCAGAGGAATGGGGTGGGGGTGGTTGCATCCTGTCTGTTGTGAGACTAGCAGAGGAGTCCACAGACCAGCTTGTGGAACCAAAACGTGCCTTCTATATCCATCTTAATAGTTCACACTCACCCTAGAAGTGCAGTTTCGGTTGGAATGTGTTTTTGTTCTTTACCGTCGGGTCCCTACTTAGTTTCTTTTCCAGAGGGATTTAATCATCCTGTACTTTTTCATCACCTTTCTAATTTCAAGAATCTGACATGTTCCAAAATATGAAGAGTGGAAAAAACAAAAAACCAAAAACCAAAAAAACATGGTAGCCATAAAAGCATTTGACTGTGTGGCAGCATCTGAAGTGAATTGCTTTTTGGAGAGAGGGGGGAGTCTTTGATGTCCCCAATATGGTTCTCATAGGCTAAAACTTCCAAGAACCACAACCCAGCCTAAGGGCCACTTACTTGACGTTCTTAAATATTTGGAAAGAGATGCTATTTATTGTTTTAGTTGTCCTTGCTATTAACACATTGCCAAGTAGATTTCTCCTAAAAGTTGAAAATGCTTTAGCAGGAGTTGATGTTACATTTAACCAGATGTGGATTCCATGTGCCTATCGCATGTCCTCTTGTCTAAGCTGGTACAGAGATCTCACATATTACATTGATACTTAGCTTGGGAATTTTGTTTATACTCTGAGTGATTCAGATTCTTAACCGTAGAATTCACACGAGCTCATATACCCCGCGTTCCCTACAGAGACTGACCTCTGCTGTAGCCTTATCAGGGTTTGTCAGTGACCTCTAGGACAAACAGCCAGCTTCCTGTCTTAATTCCTATAGTTTGTGAGGCCCATCAGATTCCTCCCCGTCACTGTGATAAGGAACAGTTTCAGAGTTTTATTTGGGCCAGTATGCTAAAAATTTAATGTAATAGAATTAGCAAAATTTGCCTATTTTAATTGGCCCATGTTAATTATGACTGTAGTATTTGTTTATATAGGATTTCTTCGGTATTTTCCATTAGTTCTTTTGTTTTCTAAAGAGAGAAGCTGAATGGGAAATAATATTAAAATTTTTTAAATATGGTATAAAAAATGTAACTAACTCACAGGCCATTACCACCAAGACTGATGTAGGAAGTTGTGAGTCCGGCAGTGAACATACAAACTGTACAGACTCCCAGGAGAATGGTCGCCTGGTCTCTGGTAGGGGTGCTTATTAGGACTTCATTGGAGGCAAGGCAGATCTATAACATTCTGGAAACATTTTATTATTGAAATCTATGACTGTATATAAAATTTTATAAGCCACTTTAAGCAGAGAATAAGTAAACACAAATATCTACAAGTATGTCCCAAGAGATGACATTTTTAAAAATATAATCTGCCAGAGAGATTTTCTTTATAGTTGCTAAGATCTGGAGTTCCATGTGTCTGTGGAAGAATTCCATGGCTAATTTGAAGCATATAAGAAGTCAGAATTTTATTAGTATATCTTTGCTACAAAGGCAAAACAATGATGGATTTCTTTATGCTTAAATGGTTGTATTAATATTACCTAATTTTCTTGATACCTTGATTATAAGCCTGAATGGTATACTGTCGATAAGTCAATTTTTTAATGCTCACCAGGAAATTTTAATTTCATTAAATTAATGAGGATGCATGTTGTAAAATGTATACTTTCTTGAATACACATTTTAGATGTAAGCAGTTCTTATATGTTATATTTGTTTAAACAGGCAATCACAATTATCCACAAATGAAATTGCTAAATAACAGAATTATGATTTCCCTAACAAGAAATTGTTCTCTCTTAATTGTATAGAAATGCTTTTTTGGTAATTATGAAATTCCCAAAGAAAGATACATATTTGTTGTTCATGCTGCTATATTCTAACATCTGTATTAGCAGAATTTCTTCTTATAGATTACCTGATTCTCTTTGCTTTCTTTTCACATAAATCACATTGATTTAAATGAAAGATAATAAGTAGAAGATAAAATAAATGTTGGAAAATTTTGATTTCTAAATTATAATTATGACCATCATCATCAACTAAACTGTCCCAGATAACAGGAAAAAAAAAAAGAAAGAAATGACACATGCTTTAAAAACTTAAAAAGGAGGAGTTGATTTCTTATATAGCATTATTTGATATGTATGTTACTTTGTTTTATATATTACACACATACACAGAGTTACATACCTGTATTCAACTCTTATAATTATGATCAAATACCAGCCAGGCTTATTTGCCTTTGAATTTCATTAAATGTTTTACAAATAACCCTGAAGTGAGGTGTAATTGATACCTTGTCATACTGACAGCATAGTTTGTACAAATATTTATGAACAATATCTTTAAAAAGGAAAGATTTAGTTGGCTAAATTTGGTAATTATCCATTTAACCTAACAAATATACATGTTAAGTTATCAATGCGAATTTCTTTCTTTCTTTTTTTTTAGTGAGGGTCTCACTCTGTTGCCCCAACTATATTACAGTAGCCTTAGCATAGCTCTCTCTCTACAACCTCAATTCCTGTATTCAATCAATCCCCCTGCCTCAGCCTCCCAAGTACCTGGGAGTACAGGTGCACACTGCCACACCTGGCTAAGTTTTTTTTTTTCTTTTTTGTGCAGACAGGGTATCTCTGTGTTGCTTAAGCCAGTGTCAAACTCCTGGCCTCAAGCAATCCTCCCACTTTGGCATACCAAGTGCTAGAATTACAGGCATGAACCATCATGCCTGGCCTATCATTCTAAATTTTATTATACATAACTTCAAAATATTCATTTCTGTATATATAAAGTAGATTAAAATTAAGAAGAAATTAAATTGATATTATTTTAAAATAGAGATTATACTTAATGAATTCACTTTATTTGTGTAAGAATGAATACATATACAAATTATGCAGTTTATTCTAGTTCTCAGGTATTTAGCTCTAACCTAAATCTTTGGATGCTGTATTTACATATCAGCATGAGCAACTATAATTTTCCTGATACCTTTCCAAGTCACATATGTTTGTCAAGTCACACTTTTTCTTTGAAGCTTTCCATGATAACCTAAACTAAAAGTGATCTGACATTGGTAGCATTTTAAAAATCTATCTTTTTTATTTTGCATTTATAGGTATATATATTGCTTTGAGTGGAAGTTTTGGTATGAATGAAACTGCAAGCAGTTAAAGGGCAGGTATTGTATTTTTATGTTTCTCTATTTATCTCTCTCCTCACCAATGTCAGATTGCCTCAGTCTGAGCAGGGGACCAATGAATAGGCGATGAATCAGTGAATGGTTATCTGCATGTCAGTGCATTCAAAGTGAATATGTCTTATCACAATGAAAGAAACATGTCCAGAAAACAAATGAATAGCTTCTGCTATATCTGAGCCTCTTCACCTCTCATATTAGATCTTCCAACTAGCTGATAGCATCTCTAGTCATTTGCTGAAGTAGCTTCTCTAATCTGCACTATGCTTGGGTAATTTCTGATGGGACATAGGGTCTAGGACTCAATGAGAGTGACCACCAAATACCCAGCTTGGCCAGCTCATGCAGTTAGAAACTACCGAAGTTATCTGGAATGTATCATACCATCTAGAGGCCTCTCCAGCCTGTCAATACTTGCTTGCAGCTTGTCAGTGGTTCTTCCTTTCCTGAAACTCAACATCTAAAGATCTCAGGCTGATGTCACAAGTGGTAAGGCCTGAGAACTGGCTATGAATGCCAGGGGAGGCATTCAGTGGTAAGGCCTGAGAACTGGCTATGAATGCCAGACAGGGGAGGCTGGGGCAGACAGACAGCACAATAAAAAGCAGGGGCAAGAGGACAGGCAGCCAAATCATTCGCTCCGTCTTAACAAGCACTAATTAAATGCCCTGTTTGAGGTAAATAATAGCTGAAAATAGCCTACTGCAATTGTTCCCCATCGATGAGTGGAGGAGTTGGTGGAGTTGCTTAGTACTGCGTCGTTCATTAAGCTGCAGCACACAGGCTGCTTCAGAGGAGTGGGGATCAGGTCAAGCCCACCTTTGAAGTGTCGTTTGCTACATCCCCTTCCAGTTTACCCTACGGGGTGCCCTGCTGACAAAAATCATATCCAGAGAATAACTGCATATACCTCAAACTGACTTTAATCTATGATAATTTTTTAAAAACCAAAATATTGTATAAAATGCACTTTAATCTCATCTGTTATCGATGACCAATCAACGTGACAATCCCCAACTAGATCTAATTCTATCTCCTAAACTGAATGTTTTTTCTAAAGCTTCAAATATATATAAACAGAATGTTCCTTTTCATCTCTTTTTATTTTGCCTACTTACTGTCTAGTAAACTGAATTCCTAGATATAAGCAGCCAGAGGGAGAAAGAGAAGTGATTCACATAATGGATAATTAACCCTTGAACAATGCAAAGTTAACTCTCCAGAGACAAGCCAAAAACTGAAATGTTTTGTTATTGAATTGGTTCTCCTTTGGGTGTTAACACATAGAGGACATCTCCATTAGCACAAACTTGGCACCCAACAACCTGTTCATCTTCAAGCTATCATTGCCACACTCACCTTTCAGTTCATTCTGGCAGGATTTGTAAGATGATGTCCTCTTGGGTAGCCATGTACAAACTACTCTAGGGGGCAAAATTGTATGAGTGCCTAATCATATTTTGTAAATGAAAGAAAAGGATCTATTTTATGAAAAACACCTAATGTAGAAAAACACAGATTGTCATAAAAAAGTATTAGCACCTTGCACCTCCCGCTAATTGCCTTTCTAGTCAAAAGGAACCAAAACAGTGTAATAAATGTTAGAGGTACATTGTGAACCCAGTGCAAAGAATTGTCTGAACCATTCAGAAGTGAAATGGAAAAGAGTAGCAAACCTTACATTCTGCAAGCACCCTTAATTTCAGCTCTAACCTTTCTGGGACTCATCTACTTTGCTTCTTGAATGAGGATAATAGTACCCATTCAACTTACTTACCAGTGTTGCTATGAGGATCAGATTACAAAGACTGTTTCTTCATTACGTTCACTAAACATGGGTTTAATTCATTCATTTAGTTTAGTTCATTCATTTTGTTTCATTCATTCATTCACCCATTTATGTATTAATTCAAAAAACATTCTTGGACCTCCTACTCTGTGTCAGTTATTATTCTAGAGGCTAAGGATTGGTTCACTACTAACAAATATTTATTGAGAAGCTCATACAATGTACTACTGTTCCAGGGGCCGGAGGATCCTGTAGTAAATAAAACAAACAGGAGTCTTTGTTCTTATAGTACTTATTATTTTGTAGACAGGAGAGACACACAATAAACAAATGCATATGTAAAATATGTGGCATGGTAGATAGTAAGTGCCATGGAGAAATTTTAAGGAGGAAAAAGAGAAAGAGGTGGCAATTTTAAACTGTGTGGAAAGGGAAGGTTTTACTAAGGGGATGATATTTAATAAAAGACTTCAGGGAAAGTAAAGAAGTAAGTTTTGTGACTATTTGGTCAGAAGCATTTTCAGCAGTGCTACCTTCAAATACAAAGACCTGGGACAAGTTTTGGAGATAACAAGAAAGTCTGTGTGGCTATAGAAAAGCATGAGAATGGTTGGAGATAAAATAAAGGAGGCAATTGGGCCCTGATCCCATAGACCCTTCTGAGCTATTGTGAAGGTCTTGGCTTTGTCACTGACAGCACCAAGATGAATAAGATACAGCCTCAAGTTGCTCGCTGAAAGAGACACAAATCAGAAAACAAGGTGGGATAATGCAATATGCTAAGTATAATAACTGAAAGATGTTCAAAAATGTGGTGGCACAAAATTGTGAGTTCCTTGACTGTACCTTGAAGTAAGGGTCAGACGAAGCCTCACAGAAGAGCTAATAAATCCATGCTGGACTTTGAAGGCTTTTCCCAGAAGGTCAGAGGAATGAAGAACATTCAGAAGGAGGACAGCAGGAGCAAAAGCACTTTAATAGAAAACAGCAGGGCAGAGATGGGGGAAAATATCACTGGTGTTTAGTAGGCGAATGGGGAGAAATGATGCTATAGATGTAGGCAGGGAACAATCATGGTGCACCTTGGTTGCCAGGCAAAGAAGTTTTAGCTTTATCTTGTGGCATTCAGGGAGCTATTGGAAGGTTTTAAGAAGAGAAGGTTAATGATCAAATTGTGTTACAGAAAATCACCCCAGCAGCAAGGTTTAGGGTAGATTGTAGGAATGGGAGAGTAGAGACAGGGAAATGAGTTAGGAGCAATTGAAATTGTTCAGACAGGAAACAATGAAGCCTGAAATAGGACAGTAACTGTGGGAATAAATAGAGAGGAAGAGACATGTTCAAGAGATAAGAGGCAAAATGGACACAATTTAATAACCTTCGGGCTAGGTATCAAGAGAAGTAATTCTGGATTGCTCCCAGGTTTCTGCCTCATACAACTAAGCAAGAAAAGCTGTGAGGAGGAGCAACGTTTGTCGGCTAGGGGACCATGATAAATTTGCTTTTCAATGCGTTTAATTTAGGGATGTTGGGGGATTGTCTAGGCTGATATCTGGTGGGCAGTTGGATTTAGTCAGGGATTCCAGAGATAGTTCAGGAACAGAGAGATAGAAGTGTGGCAGTCATGTAAATCACAGGCATCTCGGATCATGATGGACTAGACATTTCTCAAGGAAAGTATACTGAAGGGAGACAGAAGGGAGTAAGCTCCTGGGACTGTTGCACATTTACAGAATGGAGAAGGGAAGAGGAGGCTAAAGAGGAGATTATCATGGGCAGCTATTATGTGCCAGTCACTGTGCTAGATAGTGGGGATCCCACTGGCACCCAGATCCTGCCCCAGAAGGACCCTCAGTTTGTACAAATGGAAGAGATCATTATTACTGTCACTACCAGCTGTAGGATAATGCTGACGGAGGAAATGCCCAAGCATAACAGGGAAAGTCATGCAGAATATTTAATTAGCATCAAGAAAGATTATTACAAAGGAAGAATCCTGGAAAGTTTGTTGCTTGCATTTTTGCTATACGGCTCCTTTCTGATTTTTCTAATGCTTGTATGTGTATGTTCCAGTGTTAGCATGGGTTCAAGCTATTGGCAAAACAAGCCAGGTGTAAATTATGGTAGAATTGAAATCGATAGCGCTTTGAAGCACTGGAGTGCCCAGTTCACATCAGGGCGTGCGTCTGTGTTCACTGAAACATGGCTATCAAGTGCACCCCGAGTCATTAGATGTGTTATCCAGTGAATAACAGCATAATGATATTTTAGCAGAGCAGCCTTATGATAAATTCTGCTTTAGTGAAACTCCATATACAGAGCAATTTCTCCTGGCCGTGTACATTGCATGGCAAAGAAAGGATATCCTGCTGCGTATCAGAAGGCTGTAATTTCATTTAGGGGTTCTATTGACATCGTAAACTGCAAGTGCAGAGCTCAAGTGGCTATTTAAGTCATAGGAACTTCAAGCTAAAATTACTGCCTGGTCCTAATCGCCACCTCCAGGGGACTCATGCCTATACATATGTGCTTTATGATTCTATCGTTGTGTCTATAAATACTCAATCACTCCAGGGGCTGAGGTGATAAGCTGTCCTGAAATATGACAGGTATCTGTCACCTTTGCAGCTAGTACAGGCTTAAGGGCTAAAAGCAGTTATATTATTCATTGAAGGTCAAGTGATAACAGGGGCCAGAAGTCCCCAGCCAAGTTCAGAGTACAGGTGTTCCTGTTTTTCTGCTTTACGACACTTTCTACTCAGGTTAAGGTTGGATTTTCCAGCGTGTTGAGGCTACAAAAGGAGGGACTGTTCCCTTTTCCTGTAGAGCAGGGTTTGTAGCCTGTAGGTTCTAGCCCCAACTTTCACCTCTGCCTTGACCCATGCTTTCTTATGAAAATGATAGTACTGTAGTCTTGGTATTCAGTAATGTACAGGTTATATAGTGTCTTGATTGCCTAGATAGCTACAGGGACATTATATCTTGATAGACACTCAAACTGAAAATAGGAAGACATATTTGAGTTGAGTGCTTATACTCTAAGGAAAATCAATTCATATAACATTGCAGATTGTCAAATAGTATTTATTAAAGGATGCTTCAGAATTTACTCCATATGACTAATAAGGAGAGATTCAAAATTAAGTATATTTATCCTTGATTTGTAATGAAAATTTCGTGTCCACGTCCTCAC